GTCAATAATATGTTTTGATTGATTTTCATACCTAAAAATTGCTAAGTTTAGATTAATCCAAGAAATAGCCTCATAGATGCATCAAGAGATTAAAGTTAAAGGTTGATTATTTGACTCAAAATAAGAAGTTTTTGTTTTGTGTTTTGGTCCAGATCTCCGTGAAATTATTGTGTGTAAAGATGACGGGGTTCTCAATGAGCTCAGCAACCAGGAGGGCAACTACACTTTAAAACAAGAGGAACCAGAACCTCTGCAGATAAAACAGGAACCAGAACCTCAACAGCTCAAAGAGAAGCAAATCTGCATCAGTCAGGATGAAGAGCAGCTTGTGCTGAAACTGGAGACTGATGACATTTTGGTGAATCCTGCTACTGTGCAGAGAATTTGCAAAGAAACAGAACCACATAGGAACCAACTCATCTCTCATGGTTCTCCTGAAGATGAGAATCAGGATCAGGAAGGAAGCAAATCTGAGGACTCAGGAAAAAAGAGAGATGAAAAACAGAAAAGCCAGAGATATCAGAAAACCAAACAGCAGAAAGGTAAAACTGAGAGTTCAAAACAGAAAACACACAAGAAAGCTCATCCAGACCAAAAACAATATTCTTGTAACATCTGTGATGAAGCCTTTTCTCAAAGCAGTTCCTTGACAACACACATGAGAACTCACACTGACAAGAAACTGTTTACATGTTCAACTTGTGAAAAAAGTTTCAAAAGGAAATCAAACTTACTTGAACACATGAAGATTCACACAGGCGAGAAGGCTTTTTCATGTGAGACTTGTGGAAAAAGTTTCAAAACCAAATCAAGCTTACTTCATCATATGAAGATTCACATAGGTAAGAAGCCTTTCTCATGTCAGACTTGTGGAAAAAGTTTCATAACCAAATCAAACTTACTTCAACATATGAAGATTCACACAGGCGAGAAGCCTTTCTCATGTGAGACTTGTGGGAAAAGTTTCAAAACCAAATCAAGCTTACTTCGTCATATAAAGATTCACACAGGCGAGAAGCCTTTCTCATGTGACACTTGTGGAAAAAGTTTCATAACCAAATCAAACTTACTTGAACACATGAAGATTCACACAGGTGAGAGGCCTTTCTCATGTGAGACTTGTGGAAAAAGTTTCAAAACCAAATCAAGCTTAGTTTGTCATATGAAGACTCACACAGGTGAGAAGCCTTTCTCATGTGAGAATTGTGGGAAAAGTTTCAAAACCAAATCTCATTTACTTGAACACATGAAGATTCACACAGGTGAGAGGCCTTTCTCATGTGAGACTTGTGGAAAAAGTTTCAAAACCAAATCTCACTTACTTTGTCATATTAAGATTCA